CTGCTTCTGTGGTTTAGTGGTTTGCCGCGTTGTCGTTGCACACAGAAGACCCAAGTTGGATTCCAGAGTTGGGAGACTTTTTATCGAGTATCTGGGTTTTTCTGTTGTGAAGTTGTATCTCTCAGCCCAGATTGGCCGTGACTGACAGGCAGGGTTGAAGCCCGCCTCCTAAATTACCTAAATTGTGTCGATGTGGATGTAAAAGCACCCACACGAAAGAAAACTAACAAAAGCATGGTTCAAAATGTCTATTACTACTATTATTATTATCATTATTATTATTATTATTATTATTATTATTATTGTTGTTGTTGTTGTTGTTGTTATTAAATTATTATTATTATTATTATTATTATAATTTTCAGTAATCATCAGCATCATCATCATCATCATCATCATCATCATCATTCTCATTATTGTATAAAGAAGGTATTAAAACAGTTAAGACCTTGTTGTATGTCATTCTCATTATCATCATCATCATCATCATCATCATCATCATCATCATCATCATCATCATCATCATCATCATTGTAATTGTATTCCACTTTTGGGTTCTTCATTTCTCAGAACCCTTCCTTTGAAACTTGATTATTTTATGCTCTGGGTTCATTTCAATTAGTTTGACCTCCCATAATTCCTCTTTTTTTTCAACGCAATGTTCATTATTGAATGGGAATGTTCCTGGGGGGGCTTCAAACAGAGGTCTACCTCTGACGAAAAAGAATGAATAATCTAGAGGTCTCAAACACTCTGTGGTCAGCAAAGATTTGATGGGATCTTACGACAGTTTTCCAATACTGTAACTTTTTACAAGTCAAGACAGTGCAAAGAAGAAAAGACTTGATTCAGGGCATTTTTCCACGTAAGCTGAAGCATCGATTTTCCGTTTGCATTTATTTGTTTGGTTTATATTTGTGGGGAGGGGGTTAAGGGGTAAGTGAAGACAATTCAAGACAGGCTCAATGTTACTGTGTTGTACAGGGTGTCTAAAACAAAAAAGGACCCATTTAAAGGGCAATAACTCAACCATCTCTGCTCCAATTTCAAGAAAACTTCATACAAACAAAATTCATCCATGAACACATCAAATTTGTAAATATGAAGAAAATCAGTCAAAATAATCGAGAAATATAAAGTTTTTAAAATTTCAACCAAAATTGGGCAAAACGCAAAAATTTACTTCTTAAAAACGTTCAGCTACAGGGGCGTGATCGGCACGTTCTGATTCCTGGCCAAGGACGATAAAACCACGATAGTCACATCAGATGGATATATCACTGTGCTGAGAAAGATTTGTAGAAGCTTAGGTAGTGGGTGCTATGCTGTTGAGGCCAGGTTCCAGTGAGATGGGTTCACACTCCACACATAAAGAGTGGCCCTTGTGTAGTTGTAAGAAGGTTTAGGGAACGTCTTATAAGCCGAAAGTTTACAAATGAATGGTCATTACATTCTCCCTAACTTGAGCCCTTTTAATCATTACCTTTGGGTGGGTTTATGGACCGAGTCTACGAAAACAACTCAAAAACAATTGAACAGTTGGGGGAAAAACTCACGTCCTCTGCATGCAAAAAAACAAAGAGCCTAACCACTATACTACAGGCGCCGGAGTATTTAGTAACAGACAGTCATACGTTACAGAAAATGGGAAAGAGTCAAGATCAATGTTTAGTGACCTTCAATCTTTAGAGATTACAGAGATGTAAGATAACACCTTAGCCTAAACTTAATGAAAGAAACAGAACACTAAGCCTATTGATGGGATTCTTAGCATTGAAATTGGTCTGGAAATACTTTGTACTATACCACTGAGAATAGAAAAGTCAAGAGGTGAAGAAGGTGAAGGAGTGTGAGTGTATTAGAGAGAGAGATGTATAGAGGGAAAGAGAGAGAGAGTGAATGAGAGACACAGAGAGAATGAGACAGAGAGAATGAAACAGAGACAGAGTGAGACAGCAGGCAAGAGGGAGAAAGACAGACAAAAAGAGAGAGAACGTTAGAGAAAAACAGCGAATGAGAGACATAAATAGAGAATCACAAAAGAAGGGG